ACTGCTATAAATCAAAGAGCCCCGAGCCAATCTTGAACCCTGTCTTTTATGCTGTTCTTCTAACCATATACATCCTTCACAACTTTACTGTCACTTTTTGTGGACACCTGTGAACATTACTTCAATTCCTCATTTCCAACAGTTTCATTCTTCCTGTTTCCATACAAGTGCATATTTTGCAAAAAAAAAAAAACATATTTCACAGTTAGCAACGGTTCAGCAGGATTACAAATATTTCTGGTAAATTTTGAAATCATCCTAGCTGAAAACTTTGCTTCATATCTCCTTCTTCTGGGGCCGTCTATTATCCATAGGACTTATTGAATCCAATGGATCAATAGCCTATATTTCTTGATTCTCATGGATCCAACAAAAGAGTAGCAATAGTTCTATGTATGCATAGTATGTAAAGATGTGTGTATGTAAGAAATTACTACAGGTAGTCTTCGACTTACAACAGTTCATTTAGTGACTGTTCAAAGTTACAATGGCACTGAAAAAAGTGACTTATGGCAATTTTTCACAGCTATGACCTTTGTAGCATCCCCATGATCATGTGATCAAAAATTTAGATGCTTGGCAACTCGTTCATACTTATAACCGTTGCTGTGTCCCAAGGTCATGTGATCACCTGTTGCAACCTTATGACATGCAAAATTAATAGGGAAGCCAGATTCACTTAGCAACCATGTTACTACCTTATCAACTGCAGTGATTCACTTAACAACTGTGGCAAAAATGTTGTAAAAAGGGGAAAAACTCATTTAAGAAAAGTCTCACAACAACAGAAATTTTGGGCTCAGTTGTGGTAAGTTGAGGACTACATGTATAGCTGCACAGAAATTATGCATGCATGCATGTATGTATCAGGGATGGGTCCTGGCAGTTGCTGTTGCTGGTTCACTCATGGCTATGCATGGGGTTTGTGTGCCCGCGCTTGATGTGCGCTTCGCGTGTAGGCACAGTGCAATAAAAATTGGTCTGTGGATGCGTAGAAGCAAAAAAACAAGATGGCAGCACCTATGGCGCCACCCAGAGAACAGGTTTGTGGGTATGGCAGGTCTGGGTTGCTGCCGATTCCAGCAACCTGGGGCCGCCAAACCATTACCGGGTTGGCCGAACCGATCTGAACCGGTAGGAACCTACCTTAGCCTATATATATATATGCAAAGAATAACTACAGCTACATACAAATACATGATGTCAGGGATGAAAGCCTTCTTCAGAGTATTTGGGTGAATATTGAGGGGAAAAGAAAAATCATTGCTATAAGTGCATATTACAGACCACTCAACCAAGCAGAGGCAATAGATGAATTTTTTGCTAATCAGCTAGCTGAGATGTGCAAGAAACACCAGNCCCCCCCAGCCTGAGTGATGGAACGTCGGCCAAATTGTTGGGATCTGGCAACCAGCTAAGAGGCTTGTTTTGTTTAGCTCCTTTCTTCCTTAAATTAGTTTCTCTAAAGTTGTTAAAGTGTTCAAAGAACTATGTCCCAGCCTCCCTCAGCTTGTACAATCTGAGCTCAAACATCCCTTTGTCTAATGGCAGAGCCTTCCTGCTAATAGCAATAGCACATATACTGCTTCACAGTGCTTCACTCCCTCTCTAAGCGGTTACAGAGTCAGCATATTGCCCTCAACAATCTGGGTCCTCATTTTACTGACTTCGGAAGGATGGAAGGCTGAGTCAACTTGAGCCTGGTGAGGTTCGAACTGCCAAATTGTGGGCAGCTGGCAGTAAGCAGAAGTAACCTGCAGTACTGCACTCTAACCACTGCACCACCACGGCTCTAAGACCTACAGCCAACATCTCCAACTTGGGAAGTTCAGAAAAGGTACAACTCCCCGAATTTCCAGCCAGCACAGCAATTGTCCTTGCTGGGTTCCAATATTGAGAGTTTAATCCCAAACATATGTGGCCTTCTAGAAGTCTGTCATATCCAGATACACTACTCAAAGCGCTCAGAGAATGGGATTGTAGGACTACATTTTCTGGATTATGAACCGCTGATTCTAGAACAATGCTGGGATATGGACAAACTTTGGAACTTGTTATCTTGTTCTTTCCAGGATCCCAAAAACAACCAGGTGTTCCAATGGAGAGATGTGGAGATTCCGTTGGGCATAATCCAGCTTTCCTATTCTCTGTCTTCCGATTCCCTCTTGGGCACCTACAAAGTGGTGGTAGAGGAAGACTCCACAAAAGTTGCAGAATACAGCTTTGATGTGGACGAATATGGTAAGAAGGGGAGATCCAGTTTGTCCTTCTTTTCTTCCTTCTCCCTCCTTCCTTCCTTTCCTCCCTCCCTCCTTCCTTTCTTCCCCCTTTCTTTCCTCCCTCCCTCCATCTTTTCCTCTTCCATCCATCCATCCTTCCTTCCTTCCTTTCTTTTGGACAGTCCAGATTATTCTGTCTTGTTGAATTAAGGTTTATTTGTCCCAACAAAGTTGTAGAAGCTTAATCTGCATACTGAAGTTTGAAGATTTAAATGCCTCTTCATGTTGATTTAAAAAAACATTACTCCTTTAACATTTATATTTAGGATTATTTTTAAGGATGGAAAAAGCAAAATGGAAATGGAAGGAAGGAGGGAGGGCAGGGGAAGAAAGAAAAGGAGTGAGGAAAGTAGGGAGGGAAGGAAGGAAAAAAAGAAGGATGGGAAAAAGAATGAAGGAAGGAGAGTGGGATGGAGGGAAGGAAGGACGGAGAGAGAGGGAAGGAAGGAAAGAAGGAAGGAGGGAATAAATGGATGGATGGATGAATAAATAAATAAATAAATAAATAGCTTAGNAGTTTCCATTTTGGCTTTGGACCCTGAGGTGGCATTAGGAGGTGGAGGGATAGCCACCTTATGTATTGAACTGAGAAGGGCCCCCATAGAATGCAGTGTGACTTTGAAGCGTAATGCACAGGACATACTCTTTGAGGGAGATGGGTTTTTTTCCCCGAAATGTGAAAAATAGATAACTAAACATAACATAAAATAATGTTAGACAAGACGACAGTCCTTTCCTGAAAATGGAAGGATCATTTCTGCAAGACATGTTTAATGCTTATTTTAAAGATAGTACCATGTTTCTCTGAAAATATGACCCACCCCAATAATAAGCCCAACCCTTGGGGCAGCACAAACATCACTTTTGCCTTTCTCTTTCTGGGCTCAGCACTTCTGCTTGTTGGGCCGCTTCTCTGAAGCTGGTAGTTCCATGGCCAGCTACTTTGCTTATTTCCCGCTTTTGGGGCGGCTCGTGGGGAGGCTTGCGTGGCAGCACGGGCATCGGGGAGGCAGGCAATCCAGATGCTCCACGCTGGTGCTTGTTTGGGCCAGCTGCAGGCAAGCCAACATATAGCGGAATGAAGGGGTCAGTGCATTGGGATTGCTTTTGTCTCCCCCATGCCTCTGCTTCAGCTGTGCTATCTGGGGATATGCTGAAGTCTTGGAGTGGAGCTGTTTGTTAGGGTTCCAAATAACATCCAAAATTAAATCAGAGTCCAAGGCAAAGTATTGCTCAAAGTTCCAATTTATTAAAAGAGCCATGTGGGCACATCTGATAAAACCTGAATCTAAAAGCTTCCCGGTTTTTCACACCCAGTTGAAAGTTCTAGATCTTGCCCCACTCCCCCAAGCCCATCACATGTTCCAATCTTCCACTGCCATGCTGGAAGTTCCACCCACCCAGTTCCGGTCAGGTGCAGATGACCTTGGCTTTCTAGAAAGGAATTTTGTTTTGGCTACATAGCATCTAACTCAGTGGTGGGTTCCAGATCCTGTCGCAATCAGTATGCTGTGATGGGGCTGGGCATCCTCGTCGGGCATGCGCACTGCACGCACATGCGCACGCTACCACCCTGCGACACCCCAGCTGCTCGGCAGAGGTCGTGCAGGTGCCATACATTGTGCATGCATGTGCTACTGGCCCATTTGCCTCAAAAAGCTGTAAGGAACATGAGCAGATGGGTGGGCCAAACGGCTGTGTCAGTGTGTCCAAACTTGCGGTGCTGCTGCTACTCATGCACACAATGGAACAGCAATCCTTGCAGAGTCCTGCTTGAAGAGGCTGTGGTTTGGATGTTGAGACTCTAGAAAAAGTGCAGAGAAGAGCAAGAAAGATGATTAGGGGACTGGAAGCTATGGCTAGTCTAATGAACAGAAGAACCAGGAGTGACATGATAGCAGTGTTCCAATATTTGAGGGGCTGCCAAAGAGAGGAGGGGGTCAAGCTATTTTCCAAGGCATCTGAAGGAATAATGGATGAAAACTGATCAAGGAGAAATTCAACCTAGAAATAATGAGAAGCCTTCTGAGACTTAGAACAATTAACCAGTGGAACAGCTTGCCTTCGGAAGATGTGGGAGTTTCATCCCTGGAGGCCTTTTAACCTGTCAGAAATGGTATCGGGTCTCCTGCTTGAGCTGGGGGTTGGCCTAGATGACCTACAATGTCCCGTCCAACTCTGTTATTCTGTAATTCCCCAGTGAGTATGCTGGTTGGGGAATTCTGGGAGCTGAAATCCAGACACCTTAAAGTTGCCAAGGTTGCTATACAGAAATGTGTCGCTGAAGATTCAGTCTCCCTGGCCAAAGGTGTCAAACCATTGAATCATAGCAACTGGTCCAATCTTTATTAATCTGAGATGTTTAGTTGCTCATCAATCAGAGCAAAATTAGTTAGCCCGAGAGGCGTTGGAAGGTACCAACTCTTGCTACACCAACTCCAGGGGTTTCTCCCCAGATTGCAACCCGTTTTGGGGAAGCTAGTGTGGCAAAAGTTGGTACCTTCCAACGACTCTTTGACTCTTCCTGACTAATTTGCTCTGACTGATGAAGTTGCTTGTATGAGCCACGAAACGCTTCCGATTAACAAAGATTGGACCAGTTGCCACGATTCAACCTTTTGACACACATCTATCTCCACCAACACAGGCCCAAATCTTAGGAAACCCGCTTGCATTTGCTCAGCATATTTCCTAATCAGAGCCCCTGCCCCTCTTTCCAAGGCAATATGTGGCGCTGGTACCCAGCACAATCCACATGGAGACCCCTGAGCACTTCTGCATCCAGATAAAAAATGAGAAGGGAACAGTCAACTTGACTCTCGTGCTGGAACCCGCGATCAAGGATTTGATCCTGAAGCAAATGACGATAAAAGAGTCAGAGGAAGATGAAGATTTTCTTCAATGTGATACTTTCCAGGTAAGTCTCTCTGTCTCCCTCCCTCTCTCCTCTCCCTCTCTCTCTTCCTCCCTCACCCTTTTATGTTGTTTCATTCAACGTAATGCAAACACAAAGCAATAGAACATCATGATAACAATACCTCTCAAACCATTTGATTTTGTCTCTTTTTCATCCTGCAGGTTCCCAGGGAGAGCAATATTTCTGTTCCATCGGAAGTTCTTCTCGAGTTCCGTGGAAATGACTTGACTCACAGTTTCCAGATCCGCAAAAAAGTGCGGATTGAGAAACCAAAGCATCTGGTTTTCATCCAGACAGACAAACCAATCTACAGAGCAGGACAGAAAGGTAAAGGGCCACTCCAGTGGGAAACCTGCTCCTGAAATTCTTGCTTTTCTAACCTTTTCAAAACTTGATCGTTACAATTTTTACAGGTTTTGCTTTACAAATTTTAGAATTTCCATTGCTAAACCAGGCGATTGTTAAGCGAGTCACGCCTGACTACAATCTTTGTTCCCCCGGTTGTTAAACGAATGACTGCATTTGTGAAGTGAATGGTGCCATTGTGAAGTGAGCCTGAATTCCGCTCTTGATCCTGTTGTTGGAAGCCAGCTGGGAAGGCTGCAAATTGTTGATTGCATGATTCCTGGATGCTTGTAACTATTGTAAATGCATGCTTGTTGCCACGTGTCCAAAGATGAACACGTGAAGATGGTCAGAACTGTGAGATAAGTGTAAGCCATTTTTTTCACTGCCATTGTAATTTTGAACTGTCACTAAATTAATGGTGGTTAAGATGAAGATTCATTCCCTGTTTCTCCTCTCACCTCTGTGTGAGCATAAGCTGAAGCTGGATTTTTTTTTAAATTATTAATTATTGTAAACTTTATTAGCTGCCAATCTTACCACATCATAATTCTGGTCGGCTTGCAATATTAAAACTGTATAAAACTTTAATGATATAAATATAATATGATAAAAAATTGACCTAGCTAAAGAGATGAGAAGGGAAGGGAGTGGGGATCTGTTGTTAATCTGTCAACTGTCCCCAGCATGAAATCCCTCTGTGGGAGCCTCAATGTGAGCTGATTTCTCCAAAGCTGGTGGGGAAAAATAATTATGTATCAATGCATTAAGTACAGAAGTACCATATTCAATACAGCCCACCTATTGCCACAAAAAGTAGGGGAAAATGAGGGTGAAGGTTCATTCTCCCAGCTTGTGGGTTGGTTTCTAAACATATCATTACCGGGCTAGGTAATATCTCCAGCTGAGTTTAGGGGATGTCAGTGTTCTTGCGTTTACATCACAAGGCCCTCACTTGACACCCCCACAGCTGAAGCCCTTAGAGGCAGAAGAACATTGACATGGACATCCCCCAAACTTGGCTGAAGATGTTACCTAACCTGGTAACGAAACATTCGGAAACCAACCCACAAGCTCAGGGAACGAATCTATACTCAAACTACAGATCTGCACCACAGAAAATGTTGGAAAATGACTGTGGACATTTTCAGTTTAGTTCACACCCACCCCATCTTCTCCATGTCAGACCCTATGCCCAGATCAGAGCAAGCACGTTCTCCCTGCTCAGTTACCCACAACATGGGGATAACAAATGGAAATGAGGAATATCTAATAATTTGGTTTTGAAGGGCACCGTATCATTTAATACTTAGCCTACAGGTTTGATCTGGCCTACGGGGTGCTTAGATCTGGCTCCGGGACTGCCCTGGAAACAGTGAAGGACTGCCCTGCTGTGCCTCTGACAGCGAAAATGGAGCTTGGGACAATAACCTTTAACATCATGAAACATACTTTAGGAATGACTCATATTGCTTTTAGTGGCTTTGGAAGGTGCTCTGCCTTTTGATGTATAGCAAGAGAAATGGAAATAAGGTTCATTCTTATACATGGTCCACGTGTCCCCAATTTTGCCTGTGACATCTTCTAATTTGGCCAGTCAACTGTTTTTCAGCTTTGCTGATGTTTCATAAGTAAACATCAAAGGACATTTTTGCTAGGTGGATTGAGTGTGGAAGAGTGTGTTTGCTTCCTCTGATCTTAGTGCATGCAAACTATAGGTAGTTCTGGTTTACAACAGTCCATTTAGTCACTGTTCAAAATTACAACAGCAGTGAAAAAAGTGATTTATGACCATTTTTCACAGTTACAATCTTAATCCTATAATCCCATAATCAAAATTTAGATGCTTGATAACTGACTCATATTTATGATGGTTGCAGTGTCCCAAAGTGGGGAATGAGTCAGATTCACTTAACAACCAGGTTACTAACTAATCAACTGCAGTGGTTCACTTAACATCTGAGGAAAGAAAGGTTGTAAAATGGGGCAAATGCCACAACAAATGTCTCACTGAACAACATAAATTTTGGGCTCAATTGTGGTCGTAAACTGAATACTACCTGTATGTAACTTGGAGATGACAAGTAATTAGGCATAGGTTTCAGACACTTCGGACTGGTTCAGTGAACTGGATGCTAATTTTACATCTGGTTTGCCAAATCAGTAGTTGCAAGGTTTGGCTGGCCCCTCCCACCCCGGCCCCCCAGGAGTCTTCATGTGGCCTGTTTTGGATGTGGGGTAAGTACAGGGCCAGCATGGAGGCTCTGGGAGGGTGAAAAATGGGCCTCCAGGAAGTTCTGAAAGTCTAGAAACGGGTTCGTTTCCAACCTCCAGTGGGCCTCCGGAGCCCAGGGGAGACTGTTTGTTCCCTCACAGAGGCTTGAAGAAAGCCTCCGGAGCCTGGGGAGGCCGAAAACGCCCCCTTCCCACTGTGGTGCAGTAGGCCAAGTGGCCATATCCCCATGGCCACTTCCAACCAGCAACTGGGCAGAGAATCAGTTGCTAAAATTTTTCAATCCCACCCCTGCCTGTAATTAGTTTCCAACACCATCTACCAAGTGGAATAGAGCCAGGATAGGCATAATCACGTGACTTCTTCAATGTCAGGAATCCTTATTGTTCTTCTCTGGTTGGCTGGACCCTGCATTTCATCAAGGAAAACAGACAAACCGCAGTGTCTCCAGATGAGGGCAATCAAGGGGAAGGAGAAAAAAAAAGATCTATGAGAAATGATTGGAGATAGTGGATACGCTCTTCCCCTTGGAGCAGAGAAGACTAAGTGGAGGTCGGACAGCAGTCTTCATGTATCTCTTAGCTGCTCAATTTTGGGGGTCTTTCTAGGAGACATGAAACAATGGTCAGAAAGATACATTATGGTTGGACATCAGATAAATAAAATGTCTTAATGGAGCTGGATGGGCTTGACTACCCAGGAGGAAGGATTGATGGAAGGATTTAAACAAAAGCTGGATGGCCACCTACCAGAAATGCTGCAACAATCTATTACTGCCCTGGGCAGCGGTCAGATTAATGTTTTTCAATTGTAGCAACATGAAGATGTTTAGACTTCACTTCCCAGAATTCAACAGCCAGCACTGGTCAGGGAATTCTGGGAGCGGAAGTCCACACGTCTTCAAATACTCAAGTATGAGAAAATATTGGACTACAGTATCCTGTTTGCCTGAAAATAAGACCTCCGTGGATAATAAGCCCAATTGGGCTTTTGAATGCATGCGCTAAAATAAGCCCTCCCCTGAAAATATTGCAACATAGCAGCAGCCATGAGGTGACCATGCTCGCCACCTCCTGCACCTCAAAAATAGTAAGATCTCCCTGAAATGAGACCAAGCACTTATTTCGAGTGGGGGGAGAGAGGTCAAAAGAAAATAAGACTCTGTCTTCTTTTTGGGTAAACACAGTAAATGATCTCCAAGATTCCTTCTATATTTTAATGTTTCTGTATTCAGTGGCTATTTTCCCCACCTATTCTCCCTCTGTCTTTTGCAGTTCAGTTTCGCATCGTTTCTATGGATAAAAAGTTCCATCCCATGAAGAAGAAGGTAAATTTTGGGGGTTACTCAGACAGACAGAGATGATGGCATCTCCGTGAGAAAACGTTCAATTCATGCTCTCCCCGGGGTCAATTCCCCTCCAGGGGAATTCTATGGACCCCTCCCCCTTCACATAGAACATTGAGCCCAGCCCATGTGTGGAGCAGTGGTGGGTTTCAATTTATTTTACTACTGGTTTGCTTGTGCGTGCACACGCTCGTGCAACACCTTTGCACATGTGCAGAAGCATCCAGGTGGATGGGCGGGGCCTTCCGGTGCCACCTTTGCAACTACCGGTTCGCCTGATCCGGGGCGAACCGGTAGAAACCCACCTCTGGTGTGGAGATACCCTTGGGTGAAAACTAGTGAAGACTCATGGAGTAATTGAAGGCTTTGGATTAGTGCTGACCTTAAATCTACCCTTAGTCATGAAAACTGGCTGGGTGACCTTGTGGCTAGGCACTGTCAACCAACCAACCTCACAGGGTGGTTGTTATGGGTGTGTGTGGTGGGAATTCTAAGAGCAGTCGCTTGAGGTAAGACAAGATACAAATAAATACATATCAAAACCATAATGCAACATAAAAGAATCTCCCATGCCCCTTTTTCTACTTACTTTTCTTCTCTATCCTCATTTTCATTCCTTGGTGTCTGATTTCCCTGTGCTTTTTTTTTTGTCTCCACAGTTTCCAGTTGTGTACATCCAGGTATGTGCTGAAAGGCTATAGCAGTGCTAGCTCCATGGCTGATTGGACCTCATTAATCTTCGGATGGGAGGCCACCAGGAAATCTGAGGCTTTTGGGAAATCAAAATGACCAACCATTT